ACTACTCAGCAAAGCACTTCCAAGGAAGAAGGAAATCATTCCACGTGGCACTGTTATACAGCGTGAAGCCAAACTAAGCTGAAGGCAACCAGTCTTCCTTGATTGAGGCACCTGAACAGGCCTGGATCTGGCTAGTACCTGGATGGGAAGCTTCCCGACAGGTTTGGGCCATCTGCATAAGCCACAGAATTCTGATCAGTTAAATGGAAACCAGCTAAATGCCAAATAGTTACTGGGACCTTGGGCTGTGTTTGTCACAGATAAACCCTGCCAGCTGCAGCAGAGAGCTAGTGAGAGTTAGAAATGGCCTGGATGAAATAAGAAATGGATCCAGGCTTTTGTCCCAAAGGAAAATAACACTTAGAAACTGTGGAGAGGCCATTCTGGCCCCAGCATCATTGCTGAGCTGATGGAAGAGAATAAAAAGAAACAGATCATAGTGCATGTGCAAGGCACCACGGTTTTGCTGTTTACTGTAAATGAGTGCTTGGACATTTTGCTCTGAAGCTGGAATAAACCATAACCAAGCAGATAATTTCAGAGCCTGCACATTGAGTAACGGGTAGAGAAACAATGCAAGTCAGTTGAAATATGAAGTCCAAGCCTTCCAGCTGCTGCTATCACTTCCCCCAAACAGCAGACAAAAAAAAGACACACTGCACATGCCTCCCTCAAATACACACAAAAAAATTTGCTTGAAAGCACAAACACAGACAGAAGCTTTAGTAGATTTGTGAAGTCTTGCATGCAGAAGACACTCCAATGTGATGAACCACAATCTCTCAACACTCTCTCTGCAGGACATTGCACCCTTTCAACTCTAAACCACTTTGGTCTTCGCCTTTTTATTTTCTTTAGGCCAGGAACCTTCTGTATCTCTTCCATAAAATGCAGGAGAACCCCAAAACCACTGTGAAGTGTTTCTTGGTAGAGACATTAACACTGGGCCCGGGTAGCACACTGTGCATCTTTGCATGCTTTCTTTTACGGACCTTCCTCTGTCCTTTGAGAGGAATGTAGGAGCAATGGAGCATCTAAGCATCAGTAACGGAGCGCAACTAGAGTAGCAGAAGAGTCCTTTCCTTTTAAAAAATGTTACTCTCTGTACAACCTAGTGGGACCTCGGGGCTGCATTTTTCATAGGTTAACCCTGCCAGCTGCAGTGAGAGTTGTCTAGTGAGAGCTAGAGATATTGTGGATAAAATAAGAAATGGCTCCAAACTTTTGCCCCAAACCACAAAACAGACTTGAAATCTTTCCCTAAGTTTGCAAAACTTTAAGTCATTGATATCTACAGACTATTTTTAGAGCTGAATATGAGACAAGGAACGAAGAAAAATCATCAATAACAGGAAGAAAATACTAGAAAATTCCATTAGTTTAATTGGGATTTGTCATGTTCAGAATTTAACATGGAGTTACAGCTTACATCCCTAAAAACATACTGGACTACCTAATCTATGGCGAAGTAGTTTCTGTGTAGTCAAGCTAAAATTTAGACAACACAAAGGCCAATGAGAGTTTTTAATACACCCTTAATACAGCTAGAGTTACACTCTGATTTTTCAGAATGAAATACAGAATTGTTGCCTTTTTATCGCATTCTATCAATTTCATCACTGCTAAAGTCTCTATAAAAAGTCAAAGGACTCTGACCTTCTGATCAGGTATTTGAAGCTTCATGAAGCATTTTGTAGAAGGAATACCCCTACATAACATTTTGTAGTTTGACTATATACATACGCGCAAGCAGGCAGGAACGCAAAATGCAGAATTTTCCCATTAATTTAGACCGTTTCCCTAGAGAAATGTACTGAGGATACATTAATTTCTAGTTCCTGTGAGATCAGACAAATGTAAATAATGCCAGTTTTTATTGAAAAGGATTGCACGCTTTGTCTTACTCCTAGTCCAATATGGGGATTAACAAACAAAATAATAAAACCAGCAAAACTAATAAGGGTCACTCAGCATTTCCATTTTGTTGGGTTGAGTGTAATTTGTGCCAAACCACGTTTTGAATTCTTGCCCAAACCTAGATGGTCTGATAGTCTAAATTCTCACTCACACATACTAAATACTAACACACCCACTTTCAGTTCAGCTGAGAATCAAGACACAGGAAGGGTTAAAGACCAACAAAATCCAGACTTCAGAGCAACAGGAAAAAATGCTAAGCAGAATCTGGTTGGGGGAAGAATAAATTTTGGACTCCCATCAGCTTTGGGTTGTGGAAGAACTTGCTGGAACAGTCAAAGATATGTGTTTTAGCAAAATGCAGGTATTTGCCCCTATATAAAACACAATCTCACTTCCTCAAGAATACCGCTTACCATTTCGGGTAAAAACCTCCTTGCAAACTAGTTTCAAAGAGCACTGCATTCTTTCTTTAATACCTTGACCTGGCACTAAAATTCCCCATAAGCCAGAAGATAGAGGTGTATTCAGAGTGTGGGCTTTGGGCAGACCAAAGACTTGTGCTGTGCAAAAGAGCTGCTTCATCTTCCAAGCCCCCCTCTTCCCTCACGTCCCATCCTGATACATGGATGGGGTATAATAAGCTACAACTTAAGTTTCTTTGTTGTTGAAGTTGACCTTTATCTTGCAGCCCTAATGAAGTCTTTTGATGTGCTCCTAAGATACACGGCCTCCTTTTTAGCATTCCGTTTGCTGTGCCTGCTTTAACCAGTGGGCTTGCGAAGAACGTAAGTTTTCATACAATGCCTCCCTTGGGTGCCAATTGTTCTTTTCTCCCACAGTTGCCCTTGAGTCATGCCGTCCCGAAACATCACTAGTCCCGAAGCAGCTTGTCAGTGGGGAATTAGGACAACGCGTCTTTCACGCCAATGATGAGTGCACCCACTTGGCCCCTGCATTATGATCACGACCGATAGGAGCAATATGGGAGCAGAGTGTATGAGAAAAGATGAGGTTTGTGTGTGTTGGGGAGATAATTAGCTAAACTACAATGGGGAGGGAACCACTTGTGTGATGGATAATGTGAAATCAAACCACCACTGGAGCCCTTTGCAGTTCAAACCACACCTCCTGAAAGCAGCTGGTTTTAGCAAAAGAGTTTGAAAACCCTTCCCAGAAAGCCAGGCATGTGTTCTCTATTAGTGATTTGCATTAAAAAAAAAAAAAAAAAAAAAAAAGAGCCCCTGGGGGCTACCAACCCTGTAGGCGCACTAAGCAATTTGGCCAGCCTAATTATTATTTTTTGGTATGTCTAATTAAATAGACAAAAGGCCCTCCCTTCACTCTCGCTGTCGGCACGAGCTCCACTGGAATGTGCATAATGTCCCCTCATTTGTCCAAGCAGCTGAGCCTTTCCCTTTTCCCCTAGGAGATCGGCGTTGACAACTGCCCATGGCTTACCCAGTCCTACTCAGACACGGAGCCAGATAGTCAGACAGGAAGGGAAAGGGGGTAAATTGACCTGGTTCTGGTTAAAAACCACCGGACGATGCTCTATGATGTGACATGCCTTTGTTGCAGGTTAGAAAGGTACTGTGGCCCTTGATAGCAGAATTTGCCATCGCAGAGCCCATCCAATACTTTCTGCCCAGTGTTGGCCAAATTCCCTCGAATTTACTTTACAGGGACTCTAAAAGTGCAATATTTATCCTCGAGCTCTCTGGCGTTTTTCCAGCGCTCAGCTCTTCTCCTGCTCTGCAATTACACGGCACCACAGCCTTTCCTTACAGAGCCTCTGTCAACCTGCCGATTTCACCACTCCGTAACACCAGCCCTTTAACTACAAGCTACATACAAAGTCTTCCAATGACTTGAGTCACTGGAGAGTTTCAGCCTCACACTGACGCAGTCAAAGCCTCTGGAATCCAAAGCTTTCAACTGAAAAAAGAACATAATTTCAGTGCCTTTTGTCTGCGAGGCATTTTACTCCTTTTAAGTAGTTGTTGCTGGAGATTTCCACTAATGCCAGCACAAAGATAGTCATCCCAAAAATGAGTAAGAGTTTATGTCTATGGTGGAAATTAAAGAGTTTTCACACATCTAAGAGCCACATCATTACAAAATGACAAAATCTACTCCCACATTTATATGATACATAAGCACAAGTGTTTTTACTGCATATATGGGCAAAAGTTTCTCTATTTTTTCCCAAAGAGTTAGGGATAAAGAGGAAGGAAGCACCAAGTCATTATATATATATATATATATAAAAAAATGTGCACATACAAGAAAAAAAAAAGCAAAATGGTAATTTATCCAGCATAACAGACCATCTCACACTTTCTCAGTGAGCTCTGTGTTTGATCTGACAAACAGGCCCCTATTAGAAGAGTAAGGTGAAGTATCACCACATCAGTTCTGGTAGAAAACCTTTTACAGGAAGCACCTTATCACTGGTGATCTATTGAACAGTCACTTAGCAAAGCCTTCCAAATCCACTGTGCAGGATGGAAAAGCAAAAGACCAGCTCCTGATTTCAGCTACACCTGTGCAAATCCTGAATAACTCCCTAGGACTGAAAGAAGTCTTCAGTTCGCACAGCAGGTTTATCTAGATAAGCTGATACAGGTGCAGCAAACTCTGCTACCTCAGAATTTGCTTTTTCCAAAAGTAGAGTTGCTTCAGTCCAAGCAGAAACAACATGGTCAGAGAAACCATAAAATATCTTCTTTATCCTAACCAAATTAAACACCTCTGCAGCTCAGCACAACATAGGTCTGAAAAACCTACATTGTCGTCACTGCTGTTAAACTTTGTTAAGTCAGCGCCTGATGCTTCACTTCTTAACGAGGCAGTTATTTGTTTCCCAGGCAATTGCTGGCACCTGCCTGCCTTTTAAAATCAAATAATAATTGAATATGAGGAAAGCGAGACGAAGTAAAGGAGATTTAATAAAGAGAATCTTTGCTGCAGAGGGAATTTCTTTGGCAGTGATTACGTTACTAATTGATCAGCACATTGCCTGAGAGAAGCCAGAGACAACAATTATACTTAGCACTGTGGCTGAAAGCAATGCAGTCAACTACCTCCTCGGCTTTCGCTGTCCGCTGGTTTCACCTGGATCGGTCTGTTCATCTGTAAGAAAGAGCAAAGAGAGATGCATAATTAATGGTGGCATCATACCTTCATATACAGAGGCTTGCTTTGTTTTTTAGCCATGCATCATAGTCAGCACCAGAACTTACTCCATGAGGGGGGGAAAAAAGCAATTAGTAAGCAAAGAAGTAACCACAGAGTACAGGCTGCTTCTTGGTCTGAGGTAAATCAGAGTCACCCCATTCACCTGACAGGAGCTCTGTTGAATCACATTGGGAGAGGGATCTGACTCATTTCACACAGGTCATGAAATTTTAAACATAACTTTTTAAATTTCTAATAGTTTCCTCTGGAAACACTACTGTGTCAGAGTAGAAATGCTTTGTCAGAGCATCAGGATCAGTGAAACTTTAATTGCAAAGATTTCTTGAGATTGGCATAATGAAAAGAAAATGGAAAAGTGAATTCCACCTCCACTGTTAAATCAGTAGGATAGTCATCTGTAACATAGCAGACTCCATTTCATATTTGTGGAATGATATTTGGATCTGGTTTGTCCACGTGCTGCAGGAGTGCTGGCTACTGAGATTTTTTTTTGGGGGGAGAGGGTAGGATGAGAGTCAAAACATCTCCCTCTGTTGCTTTTTCAAATGTCTTTTTCCTTTCTTACATCAGAACATAAGCAAGTATAAAAACCTTGCCATTGTGCTGTGAGTAGCATTTCTGTTCTCCAACTTAGCCCTCTCAACAAAAGCATTGGGGACCATCATCATCCCCAGAGCTACTCAATCTCAGGAGAGAGCACAACAGATGTCCACAATCATCTTCACTGGTAGTGCCTAACATGATGTGGGTGTCTGATGGACAGGGGTGAGGGTATACCCCTCCTCTAGTTAATAGCTGGAGATGCAGATTGGATCAGAACCAGCTGAGATTTTCATCTGAAGGCCCTTCCTTGCCTCTTCCTCCATGTTACTTAAAGTAATCCATACACTATGCAGATGGACTATTCAAAATATCTTTCTGTGTGTGACTGCCCCTGAGTGGAATGAAATTATCCTTTAGATTTGGCAGCCAAAGAAAGTGCAAGTTCAAACAGGCAACACAAGGAACAGGAAGTCATAAGGCAATGGAATCTCCCAACATATTGCTTCCTAATAAAGTCAGACCACAAATTTGCTGATGAGTGTCACAGGGTGCCTGCAAGTGATACCGTCCCTCCCTTATTTGTGGCTAATCACAGTTGGGCAGCAAGGCTGTAAGTTTTCTTTTTTGTTTTCTTCCTAATTCCCCTTTATTTTGAAAGTAGTTCATAACCATTTAGATTTATTCTAATTGCTCTGCACACATATTTAGTAATAAAAAGTTTTCAAGCTGGCTGACAAGTAGGTTAAGATGATGGAGAGCCTAGCAGATCCTGCTGCATTGTTGTCTCAAGAGGAAAATGTACTTAGCCATAAACTGACTACAGTTAGACTCACACTCGCGAAGAGAAGGATCAATGGCTCCAGACGCTACTGAGCAATTTCTGCTCTCCTGTATGCCTGTATCATCCAACAAACTCCAGACAGTTGAAGTGCTAAAACCAACAAGGAATCTGGTACTGGATAAACCTTGTATCAGCCCCTGCTTCTGCAACTGTAAAGACCTGTTGCTCACACATATAATACAAGATATTAGCAGGGCCAGAGGTGATGTATTTAGCAGCAGCAGCAGGATGAACATCCTGCCATAGGGTTCCTGTAACCACATGTGAGCAGCTAGCTGTTAGAAACATTTAAAGATCTGACATCACACAGATAAGGAGGGTAATCTACGTCATATAACTCCAAATGTGTAAAATGTGTAATTTTAAGCCACTCTTAAGTTTGGTGTCTGAGATGAAAAGGATGAATGATCTTCTGCAGTGCCTGTTCCTCTCCACTGATCATGAATGTAGTCTATGCAGTTAGAGTTAGGTGAGATGAACCCCATCTTGATTCTCATGCACAGGATAATGAAGCCAAACTACCCAGTTACTGTGCTTTAACTTCCCCCAGCTTCTTAATCACTGCGACTGGTTTGCATTTGCAGCAGGTTAGTGTTGACATCATCCATGTGCCAAGGTCTGACTTGAGAGCTGTTAACTTTTGACAGCTGCACTCATGCTATATATTATGGCTTCCAAATGTGGACACAATGGCTAGTCTAACTCCAGTGGTCAGAAGAGGGTGGTCAGAGGTCCCTGGTGCTCCCTCCAAGACAGCCAGAATCTGCATCCCAAGCAGTCAGGAAGAGAAATAGTCACAGTAGCCAGGAATTTATAGGAGGTGTGCTGCATACAGCCCTGAGACGCAATGTCTGGAGTCCAAAATGGACACAGCCTTGCAATGCAGAACACTCCATAAATCTACCAACGTAGGTACTGATCTGAAGCCTGCTAAAGGCCATGAAAATCCCCACTGAACTCGAGGAAGCTTTAGAAAAACTAGACAGAGCTCTTCCTATTTGTTGTTGAGTTGGATGTGGTCAGTTTGCAAAAGGCAGAGGAGATCATCAGACTCTTTAGCAAAAATGAGAGGAGACTAATATTTGTTTGGTTTTGTTTTTTTGTTTTTTTTTTAAAGTTTGGGGCATGAGAAAAAGAAGACAATCCCCAAGAAAGGAGAAAAAAAGAGGGAGGGAATGAGCATCCAACAGAGGAAGAAAAAAACTGAGGAAATTAATAACTAAAAAGCTAGTGTAATTTAATGTACACTATGATTTATACACTTGACAATTTCTTTATAGACCAAAGAGAAAGTGCTGCCTGCACGGAGCCCATAATACAAATTGAGATCATCTTGACATGAAAGACACCAATTATAGGGAGAAACATTGAGAGGAAAATAATTAAGTTTCCTCTCTCTGTCTATGGAAATTTTCTTTTTTTTTTAAAAATACACACACTCTGGGAGCAAGGAGCTGGCATGGGGAGCAGAAAAGGGCTAAGTGGGGAATAAAATGGCAGACAGATGTACCTTCCACAGCCTTGGAAAAAGACTTCTTGGGGAGAAGGGAATTCAGAGGTTCAAGCTCTCTGCTTATTCTTCAGCTGGGAATTATCATGGGTTTAATGCAAAGAAACCAATGTTTATACTCCAAACTGCAGTTATCTCAATAGTAATTGGTGGAATATTGATACGGACATCTTTAATATCCGTCGTGTCTTGGTGGACCCTGAGAGTGTGATAGGAGAAAGAAGATCTGCCTGTCAGCAAATCTGATTCATACCATGGGTATCCACATGGGATCATAGGAACTACAGATGTGGCTTGAAGTTTTATTGATCCTTATCACTAGAAGTCGTCAAAAGAGATCTGGCAACATGGGAAAAGACCTAGGTAGGCTGATCCAACATGTGAACTGACAGACGGGCTAGATGAACCCTTTTAGGCTCTCCACTAGGATGTGCTACACTTCTGTCCATTGCAATGGTCCTTCTTTCCTCTGGCCATGGATCCTCTTTGTGCTCTCCTTTGAAATATGATCATGGTTCCTTAGTCTATATTATCCCTGTTGGGCTGCCGCGGTGAAAGAAGTATACTGTTTTGCCATTAGTTAACCCAGAAAGAGTTTATCTCCTCTTTAGCCTCCTTCCTGTCCTTTAGGACCTGACTACAAATTTTTATTCTCTACATGAGCTATGAAAACTCCTGACATGATGGTACCAGAATGCCTAATAGTCATAAAACCATCATAAATCAGGACAATATGTTTGTCCTCATTCATGATTCAGAGTCCAATTTGGCCACAAATTTACTTTGAAGTGCCTCATTCAACAGCAATGCCGTAACAGAGGTGTGCTGAAGACCACTGAGGCACAAAGGGATTCAGGCAAGAGCCAAAAAATTTAATTTTGGTTTCTGGTTACATATGACAGACCCAATTTTCAAAGGGGTGGCAGGTGGATGGCAAACCAGAGTTTTATTCACAACTGTATTCCCAGTGTGGCCTCAGGCAAAGCCTGTGTCTCAGATTCCCTGTCTGTATTGAGAACTATGGGCACCGCATGCCACTACAGCTGTGAATCGGACCCATTTTCAGGAAGAGAGGTTGCATGTCCTTTTTCCACAAATGCCGTAAGTGCCTGAGTTGATGGAGGAGTTAGAACCTCAGGAGCATCACACTTCTTATTTTCCTTTGATCCTTTGCACCTTCATCTCTGCTTAGTACCACCTTTACTATCACCTTTGCACACCTTAGACAAGATGATTGTATTTGTTACACTTCATACCCTTCCTTTTGGCTTTTCCTTCCTTTTGCCTAAACCCAACCCATTCAAAGAATGCCAGATGTCATCCTCTCACACCAACTTGCCACTTGCCCCACCTACCCCCACCCCAATCCTCCCTGCAAGTAGAAACACGACATCATTTTTCATGTCCAATTACAGCCACCGTGGTGCCACTGTTAAAAGACAGCGCAGGTACTCCTGTCAAAAAGGGTTTGAGTTACAAGAAGCGATGAATTACAGCAAGCCCTTTTTCAATTCTCCACAGAAATGAAATGTCAGAGCTTGCTGCTGTATTTTTCTCAGCACCATCAGCTACAGGCCACTGCAGGAATTAGACAGGGGACAGACGCTTTTCTGCATCATGATTTTTCTTTTCCTAAGGTTGTCGTTTTCTCTGCCACCAACCTTTTTCTGCTCCCTCTGGCTTTGATATTAATTTAGAGCAGGTAGAAGGATCACCTGGGAAAGAAGAGTAGGAAGCAGAGACAGCTGATTTCTCACTGTCTCCATCTTTCTTCCTCTCACTGTTCCTACTACCCTTCTCACTCACTTTTTCATTAATATACCTGGTGTTTCTAGCCAGGACTAAGGGTCTACCAGGCTTGAGAATGGACAAATGCAGAGATAAAAAGAAGAAGAAAGGGAAGACAATAAAGAAAGGATGAAGAAACCCTGAATAGCTTCAAATGTGATCTGAGACAGGAAGGAAAAGTGAGAAGAGGAGGAGACTACTGAAGATCACTGAAATGTCAGTAATGGTTAGGAAGATCATGTCTAAGGCAGA